TTATTATAATTATTACATACATAAAAAAACAAATATACAACAAACATTACAATATTTTAGGTCATGGAGTCTTAATTTGAATTAGACGATAGTTGAATTATGTTGATTGCATCAACCTACCAGCTCATTGCACTTGATGCTGAAGCTAGGTCACGTTGTGTTTTCTGTTAGGTGGGTGGATAGTCTACAAATCTACTTTTGTAACTTACATGTGTTAATCAAAGTTTCATATGAACTAATGTGTGAGACTTGCACACTACTGTGGCAAAATTCTAAATGGCCACAAATGTGTATTTGGTGATTTATACTCGCATGCAAGGTTTTGAGAGTATATTCAATATGGATTTTAATATGAAATAAATCTGTATATACATTTTAAACTGTACACAGAATAATGCACGTTTGTAAATCTTGATTTTATTTGTAGATTACTTGAATACACATTTGTAGTCATTATGAGATGCACGTGATTTGTTTTACCACATTTGTAAATCTGGATTTTATTTGTAGACTGGCAAACAGCCATTTGTGGTCTTCATGAGACAGACATTGGTTTTTACACGTGTAACCTTGACTATATTTTTAAATGGCCAAATATCCATTTGTGGCTAGTTAAGATAAAACTTTACCCCCATAGCATACCCCATGTTCAGCAGCTGGGATCACTGTTTCCACTAATCTGAGATTTCCAAATGTTTATCACTTTAATAATTTAACAGATAAATTTATTTCTTTAATTCCCCACACCATGGCACATGGCAAAAGATATCAGTGCAAATGTCTTTATATGCCATCTGAAGTATGCTTCTGGGGGAGCTTGCTGCCAGACTGTTTTATTGAGACTAATATCTCAATGTTATGTCTAGGAAAAACAAAGCTGCGTGTGCACGTTTGTGAGTCTGTCCCCTGTGTGCATGTGAACACAGCGACACCAGTCTGGGATGACTTTCTGGTATGCTGCAGTGTAGATATGATAACACTAAGATAAGTACCATGCCTACAGAGGACACCAAACAATACTCGTTACGTTTCACACCCTCCTCACACCCCTTCCTCCCTACCTCCAGCTAAGAGAAATGGTGAGCTGTGGCTCTCTTGCTTTCCAGCTGAGAGATAAGCACTTCACTGTATTCTCAAGGTGGCATCTAATGCACTGAGGCCGGTGCTGGGGCTTGTCTAAAGCTCTAAGGAATCCTCTACAGATGACTTATCATGGCAGTAAGAGGCAAATAGCTTCCTTTAAAAGCATTGCCAGCAGCCTCTGCTTGGATACTTAACTCCTAACATATGCTTGCTGCAGACTGAAGTATTTATGTTTAACTACAGGCAGAGTTAGAAACACTGTTAGATAATCGTTATAAGGAAACTCTTACGGAGTCCATCTCTAGCCTTGGCATTTCTACTGCAACAGCATATTCTGAATTTTCAGCATGTACTTATAAGAATAACTAAATGGAATCCTACCTTTGACTGTTATCTGTGCCACAGCCTCTATCACCCCCAGGGTTGACATGGCCACACAGGTGTAGTTGGCCGATTGCCGGACGTCTGTAAGCTCCAAGACATTCCGTCCAATGGGCATGTCGTCCTCTGGCGTCAAGTCTTCAGCACCCAGCATCCACTTGACATATGGCATAGGAGAACCAACTGCCACACATGTGATATTGACACTGCCTCCTGGCATGATTTCATTATCTGTAGGTGGAATGGAGAATCGTGGTGGCACTCGGCGTACTGAAAAACAAAACAAAACAAAACAAACAAAAAAAGATTTTGTGAAAAATAAGAAGAAAATGCAACAGCTGTTGCAACATCCGTTTATGGTAAAATTGTCTCATGCTCCTCAAATGTTGCCAAAAGAATTGAATATATAATTTAATAAGGACAGTGGCATCTTAAAGGCTTCATTGTAGCATTAATTAACTTTGTTTTTACACAGATATTTCATGGTCAACACATTTGACCTGAGATTTTAATGGTGAATGGGTCAACAACAAAATGAGCATCATGCACAAAATGCTGGTATCACCATCTTTACATAAAGACAGAACTGCACAAAGTGCTGGAGGGTCGACAGCACTCCACAGTTGTATGCAAGGAAACAACTTTTCGGCTGCGTACTTCCAGCAGATGTGAGAAAATGTGCCGCAGCACATTCTCACATCGCACAAACATAGATAAAACTATTGAGAAGTTGTTTTTCTGTACTTTTCAGGCTTGATCTGAAATGGAAACTAGAGCTGTCAAATGTTATGCATTCACAAACTAAAACTAGCTATGGTAGTTTTACTTAATTTCTTTATCCTGGTGAGTTCAGTGCTGAATCTGAAGTCTTTAGCTTATCACAGGAGGAGAAATGATCCTGTCCTTAAAGCATTAACATGTTTCACCATGCTACATTCTATGATTGTATAAATCCATCCATGCCTGTGAATCACTCAATCAAAAACCCTGACTGGTACCAACTGATTTTCACAGGATCTCTAAGTACAGCTTAACATAAAGGGAGAGAGTTCATTCTAGGAAATCCATGCATTTTCATATATAATAAAGTGAACATAAGATGTTTCAATACACATATGGAGAAAACATTACAGATATGTTTTGAGCTATTCATATTAATTAAAAATTACAAAACTATTTTGCAGCATATAATCAGAGGATATAGCTGATGCTGTTTTGTTATGATTACTTGATTCAAACGCTGATCCTAAATGTTTTATAAATCTAGTTTCAATTATAACACACAAGTAATAAGAGTATAATCAAGCTGCAGCAGTGTTAAAACAAAACTCAACTTAAACAGCATATTATTTAACAGCTCTAGTGGATACACCTTCAAATAAATCTAACAAAAAAAATCAAGGCCTTATATTTCAAAGGAAATGTTCAACTTTCAAGTGAAATTCAGTATATAACATTCATAATGCACATGGACAGCTTCAAGGCTGTTTAGAGGGGGAATAAGAGTCGTCATGCATACAAGAACAATATGGGACTTTGTGAGACAGCCATGTAAAGGAGTCAGGGGTGGGGGGAAAGGGCTGCTGGGGCAAAGCAAGTGGTAATAGAGTCAGAAGGAAGACACTATCACACGGTGTAAACGGAACAATTAGTCTGGTAGCATTGCTGTATCCTGGCAGAACTACGACACACTTGGAGAAGAAAGCAAATACATGTTAAGATAAATGATAAAACAGAGAACAGGGAACAAAATCAGGAAAATATATAATTTATCCTCAGGTTTTACTGGCAAATATTTAAGTACACGGGGTGAGAATAACTAAGGGGCTTGGGCATAAGGGAGGGACTACCAGGTATTGGGGGGATTGATTACAAATAGTCAGTGTTACTGCTCATTGTACTGGAAACAGATTACTGTTCATTTGGGTTAGATTACTCCATAAATGTTTTATTGAACCTTGAATAAATATGAACTTTGAAAAATACTTGTATTTATTGCCGGTTAATTGGCCCTGCTTTGTAAACAGTCCACTGACTCTAAACTAGGCATTTGTGCAGGTAGTTACATTTGACTGCAGCATAAGCAAATGTGCTTCCTGTTGCCTGCAACTAATTCACAAAGCCCATTCTGTTGAGCAGACTGCAGCTCTCCAGAGAGGAAAACTGGGGGAACTGCTTGCATTATTAAATACAGTTTTTCTTTCTCAATATTTAATTAATATCCAATTGGCTCCTGCTCCCCACAGACATAATATTATCCTGCTCATTTGAATATAATTACATTTGTCAAGTCTGGTGGATAATGCTCTAAATGCATCACTCTTTCATGACTTCCTGCACAGCAACATCCCCGTCAGAGAGAGTGTATAATCTCTGAGGGCAAGGTTGTTTTTACAGCTTGGCGTTAGACTTTAGTGCCAATTACAACAAAGGATGGATTTTGCTTTAACATTTTTATCTCTGAGAAACTTCAGTTGGAGAGAGCACCACAGGGATCATTTGAATGTAGTGAAACTTAAATGATTATATGCTGAGAGAGCTTGAGCGCACATATGAAGCAGCAGTGCATCTGTGTAGAACAGTAGCTATTAATTCCAGGAGCTGACAGAAATCAAGGATATTGTTCCTGCTGGTGTTGTGTGTCACATTATTTTTAATTCTTTAATGGAATTGATCTTATTACTAACATTTTACATGTTTTCATAACCTTTGACCTGCTTGTTGTTAGTCATCAGAGAAACCAAGCAGGAACACTGACAGGGTAGGGACTGGGGAATGGGGATGACTAGCTCAAGCATTAACAGGTGACCATGCAAATAGACCCTCAGACAGATGCAAATATCGTCCCTGCCACCCCACCTCAAAGATGCAAACATGCACCACCTGTTGGACAGTCAAGCATTCTGACAAGGACCAGGTGCATTCTCAATGGGAACATGAACACTGAATGTGTGACAAATAATAAAATGATTTCAACAGAACTAAATAATTAAAAGGTCATGGCAATGTCTGGTTTGATTTGAATGACTGTAATAATGTTTTTTGTGGCAAACAAAAGAACTTATTTCTGTTTTGTGTTGTGTTGAAAAGCAAAAACACACCAACCTTCTCGCAGCTCTGAGGGATGTAGGAAATTTGATGCAGAACAAAATTAAATAAGGAAAGGAGAAAAACAAGGGAAACACAGTAAAAAGGCCATGTTTTAGGTGTTCAAATACTACTTAAACAATTCGAAGGACGTTATGTCTCTAAAACTCAGAGAGCCCCATGTATCTCTCTGGCACCCGGGTTACAAAGTAAAGTCTGAGCTGTCAGAGCATTTTAAATAAGCAACAATATTTACTTTTATCACAAATTCTGGCCAAGCCATGTGGTTAGCTTATAATTGTGATTACATTTTATATATTGTTATATATTATCTGTTAAATATTGCACTGGTTGGACAGAAGCTAACCACAGGACCAACTGTATTGCAAAAATTGTCAATTACAAATAAGTATAAATAAAAATATAACTATCTGCTAAGTATATGAATTTATAGATAATTTCAGTCATTGTAGGACAAGTAACAGTGGATTTTACACATACTGCAAAATCAAATCTAGCCTTGACTGACATAAATCTGGAAAGAACTAAATATTAAGGCTCAAAGAAAAGCATTGCTACTTATTCTACCTGTACTGTATTTGCTTAAATTATCAAGCTATATATTTTTCTATTGAACCATAATCGGGATGCTAATTTTACATATGTAAGGTAATAAACTCGCCAATAATTTTAAAATTGTTTTATACTAGTTAAATATTGTCAGTAGGTAAAAGGAGTGAGATTAAGGGTGTCCTTCTAATGTTGATAAATAGGGAGGAACAAAGGTCAGAAAAGGATCTATTCTCTGCCTGGGAAAGATTTGGGACTGATGGAGGAGGACCATCCACCCTATACCACCTCTGACAGTCAAGTTCAAAAGGCAATTAGTAGATAAACAGAGCAAGCAGTCCAGTCCCTGGTGTTAGACTCAGGATAATCAACAGGAAGGACCAGAAACACATCAGAGTAGATACTGTAGGTTCAAATCAGTGCAGGTAAGTACAAACAAAATAGACAGAAAACAAAAAACAAAGCATACTTACAGTGGCCTCACAGGATTTGTCAGGCTTTTTTGGTAGATTTAAAGATTCTTCATGAATTTCAAAGAGAGAAACATGCCAGTGTTGCTGACACATTTTCCTACCTCTGACGTATAGGTTTGCTGGGGCAGAGTAGCGGGTTCCATCATTGTTGGTCGCCACACATTCATACTTCCCCTGGTCAGACTCTTCGCTCTGCTCTATCTGGAGGGCTCCTGGTTGGGAATAGCAAATGGGGTAGCAGCGTATGTCTGGTTAAAATGTTGTTGTTTGCATCAAGTTCACAAGCAAAAATAAATAGTTGGACCTCATGGAGGCCAACTTCAGCCCCGTTCATTTCTAGTTCTGCTTGGTCTTCTTGACTCAGTAGTTGGACAGTTTGAACAAAGTTGTAATTAAACATTATCCAATCAACTGCATTAACGAAACACTGCATTCTTGTATCTATAAATTCTATATTTTAAAGATTATCCCCCATCTTTATCACAGCCTTATCCACTGGCTGAGGTAGGCTGCAGACTGAATTATCCTGCTATAGGTGAGGGACACATACTGTATGTAGCTGCAAATGGTAATCATGCAAGACATTGCAATACAAAGATAGTTTTACTTAACAGGCCTAAAGTAACAACAAGGGAAAAGAAAATAACACTGTCAACCAAATCCACAAGAAAGAAAAGCCAAACACTTATCTTCTGTCTATAATACATTTACCTGACTGACAGCTTCTTTACAGAAAAATGCTGATTTGTTTATAATGCTACAGGGTCTAAATGAACACTCATCCTACTGCCAATGTCAAAATTTCACTTGGAAGAATTGGGGCAAGCCCTTCAAGATACAACATGTCACTGGACCAGTCAATATGGGGATGAGTGATACTGCTTCAGGGAAACATGGATCAAACAAAAGAGGTTTACAGTATAAGAAAGCAGCATAACAAGGGAGGACAATTGAAAGAAATAAATTTTGGTATGAATTTTAGCATATTCAATCACAGATCAAGTGTAATATTCACTTAACAGAGTAATTTGGGACTTCATCTAGGTGAAGTTGCTTTCAAAAAATGCAGCAGTTACAAAAAATTGAAAAATGCTGCTCATATGTGTGGAAAAAGTTTAATTGAAGTATTATGTAAGGCAAAACCAACAAATAACCCTCTGTAACAAAAGTTTTGACATGCAAATCTTAGCAAGAAATGTATGTCGGCACAACTTACAACCTTCTGACAACCCTTAGCTGAAAAATAAAATGCAATTGTATTAGAAGACAAAATTCAAAATATCGGCCTGAGCCAACAAGATGGTAACCAACCACTGCTTTAGCTTGTGAAAGCTACAAAAGACACCCATAAAAATCCACCAATGGGATCAGCAGTGTGGTGTCACATGACCCAGAGAAAAATGGCTTTATGCATCAACAACTCTGCAGCTCCATATCACACGGCAAAAATGAGCCAATCAGGTCCTCGCCAGACTAATGTTTGCCTTCCCCAAACCCTGAAGAAAAAAAAGTCAAAAAGTAAAATAGTCTCCAAACCCAAGAAAAGTAAGAAAAATAGGTGAAAGAGAAAAAAAGCACCGTAGAAACTTTATCAAAAAAGTGGTTGTTTGGGCTTTTTTGTAGAGGTACAGGAGAGGAAAGCAAATAGAAGAAATGGAAAAAAAATGGTTGGCAAAGATAGAAAGAATTCTTTGGGAGAAAAAAGCAGAGTAGAGGCAATGTTGTCTTCAGCATGCCTGCGTGATTCCACAGCATCTGTGCATATTTTTAGTGCTGAACAAGAACAGCTAAGGGGAAAAAAATGCTTGGTTGTTTTAGTTGGACAAAAAGAGGGACACATGATTCGCTATGGCCAAAGAGAAAACAAAAATGAACAGAAAAAATAGTTTAAAAAAATAATTGTCATTGGATATGCTTATTTGAGCCAGGGCAAGCATATCACAACTGAGCTAAACAGGCTCTTAAAACCAGAATACAAAGGAGTAAATAAAGCATAGACAAAAATATGGAATACAAATTTAGTCAACAGAACAGGACAAATAAGAAGGAAGGTCCGTATGAACGTAATGGGATTTGGTCTCAGTAAACAGGACAAAAATGGAGGTGATTCAAGTGAATGGATGAGTTGACAGCAAGAATGAATTTGTATTATTTTCATTCTGTGAACATCAGTTCAGCACTCTTACCTCTTATTGGTGTACCACCTGGGTGGATAATATGAATGCAAATAAGATTAGAAAGAAGAAGCATTAGTACGAGTAGATAGATGCTGGGGGCTTTGGAAGAAGAATCAAATTAGATTTAACAGGGTACGTAAATAAAGGTACTAGAGGAAAGAGAAAGGAGAGAGAAAGAGAATAAGAACTTTTCTGAACTCTACTGGCAAAGAGACAGGATTCATCATAGAAAATTCATTGGTCAGAGAGAAGAACTTGTACATTGATGTGCCACCGGGAGGTGCCATTTTGGAAGTGGCAGTGGCTTCTGAAGACCATCTACTGAAGGGAAAAACTTGGAGGACTTTGTATATGAGATTGAGAGCAGATATATTTAAAAAAAGGACAGAACAACCTAAGCTCCATTTGCTTGACCTGACCTGGTCACCTCCCTAAGAATCTGTATTTTTCCATACCTCTGGTTCTGGTGTTAAAAGATTAAATAAGTTAGTGAGTGGTGGGTCAGTGAGTGAGTAACAAAAATGTGAGGACAGGTCAATACCCAGGTCAGTATATGACAATGCTAAGCTACAGTTTTGTAACCATAGTCTTTGGGTAAAGGTGACACTAGAGCTGGCAGTGGGACACTGTGGGGTGAGGGAAGAGTGTGTGTGCCTCTAATAGTAGCCCTAAAACTAAACTGTTAGTAAAATGCATGCCATGCATTTTAATAGTTGTGGGAAACATGGAAATTAGTGGGGAGTGATGTGTGCTTTAGAGCTAAGCACTTACCAAAGGATTCTGTAGATTTAAGAATATAGAGAGAAGAAAGACAGCATAAGTATATGATTATATTCTTTACGTAAATTGAGTTAACAAGGGTTTGTTAATGCTTTATCAACTAGGTGAATCAAAGTCGCACATTAGAAATGAGGTTTAATTCTACACAGTTCTGTTGAAAACAAGTCAGCAAGGAAATAAGGTTAACAAGACGATTTAACAAAGGACAGCTGTGAAATCTGTGAAGACAGGTGGTCAAACATACAAGACTTAACTTTTACATAGAGCTGTGCTAATGTGTTGCCTTTCACTGGCACATAAAGCTGCATTTTTATGAAATAGAATAATTTCTCTGGATTGAGAGATTGAAACCAAACTTTGGATAATTGGGGCAATGGTTATATTATGGTGTGTCACAGGCATTTACACAAGCAGGGGCTGTAAATTCAGAAATCAAGGAGTAGGGGGAAAGCCTTATGAAGTTTTATGCACTACTGTGGTTGATTAGTGTCCAGAATTCTGTATTTTTTTCTTTAAATTCAGTACTGATTTTTTTTTTTTTACAGATTAGTTATTTATTCAAGAAGCTATAAGGATCCCTCTTAAGAAAGTAAAATTTCAACAAATGCAGAAGAATGGTTAATTTGCTTTTCTGAATGTTTCCATTGATGTAAAATTATGTGGACTTTGCAGATTCTGAATGAAACCAAATGTTAAATTTTAATTAAAAAAGAGGCATAAGAAATGGAGATAATGATCCAAAAATACTGCACCAATGCAGTGGAAAGGAAACTGACAGAAAAGAGCAAAAGAATTCACTGTAAAAAGTCACAGCAGTGAGCAATGAGAGCAGAAGCCAGCAAACACAGAGGGGAACAATCCCAACAGCCCATGACAACACTGGAAGACAAAGGGAGACACATAGACAGACAACACACACCAGGGCACACAGAGAGTAGAGGACAGGAAATAGTAGAAACAATGCCATTACCTACAAAATTAAAAGCAAAATGAGAAGTTAAATTATGGGAGAAAGAAGAGGATGAAAGACCAGAGGAGACATCAGTAGGAGTGGAGCAGAGCAGATAGAGGAAAACACAGTCCCTGTTGTGCCGTTCTGTTTTCAGCAGAAGAAACCTACCTGATCTGAGCTGTTTAATGCGCCCATTGTTGTTGGTGGTGTTGACAGGGAGGAAGTCTTTGAACCAGTAGATGTCTGGGTCTGGGTTGCCACTGGCGGCACAAAGCATGGTGGCAGTGCGTGTTCGCTCCACCACTTTCAACTGTGGGCCCATGTCTATTGTGGGGAAACCAGGGGGCAGCTGGTCCTCTGGAAATAGACAAGACACATTGTAGTAGACTGAAGGAGTTAGTGGCCCTCCTCAAGCCCTCTGCTTTTGAGGAGGGAGAGTCGATGGAAATTAGTCATGCTGTAGGACTGCAGAGCAACAAAATGAATGGAAGCTAAACAGGACAATGAGAACTATTTGCAGTTTTTGGCCAAATATAAAGGTATGAGTGCGTAATAGTAAAAAGAAATTTCAGTGGTGTAATAGGTCTTTTTTCACCTTAATAACTGTCAGTAAAGCAACCATTATTTCTAAATCCATTAGCACTGGAAAAAGGTTTTCTCTACCCACATCTGGACATGAAATTAATAAGTGTAAATGGACAAAACACTACAAGGAATGATTTAAGCATTAAAGTAACTAAAGGAATGATTTGATATGTGTGAAAATATGCTTATTTGTTTTCTTGCAGAGAGTTGGATGACAAAATCAACCTCAATCAACCACAGCCTTTGTGGTTTCTCAGCAGGTTATGTGCACCAGTCTGTTACGCTAAATCATCTCCTGGTGGTAGCTTCATATCTAACAGACAGGTACAAGAGCAGTGTCTTCCTAAGAAAACAGAAAAAGCAAACAAGTGTATTTTCCAAATGTCAAACATTTCCTGTAATGACAGAAAGGACGGGATGCTAGCTACTCTGGAGACGAGGAGCTCTGATGTTCTTTGATGATGGCAGGTGGCTTTGCGGTGTTGTATAAGCTGTCTTGTTTGTGCTTGTGCCTCAGCTGACGGACTGAACTAGGGCGGGCTACATCTTGCTGCTGTTTGAGATGTGAGAGAAGTAACTCGCATTGCTTTCTGCTTCAAGCATGTTCCTTTGGCAAAACAAAGAAAATCAAAGCCTACAGAAGCTTTGTCTGGAGCTCATAGCTCTGAACAGGAAGTATTCTTGGCTTATAGCTAGTGAGAGTGAACAGAATAAGGTCCTCATATTCAAAATGTCTGCCTCTTTGCTAAGTGTTAATCTGCAAAACAAGACCTGCTTATTTTGAATGCCAGTGAAGTTTATGTGCACCTTTAAGTTTTCCTTCCCCTGCTCTGACATGGCTAATTACTGTCTTCCGTTGCTCTCATAAACTGCACCTTTTTGGAAACGCTTTCTTCATGAAATTTTCATGAGGAGACATCAGTCTACAAACAGCTTTGAGATGCCACAGCCTGCACACAGCCAAGCGACAATCATGGCCACCTTCCAACAATGCTTTTGGGCATCTGGCACGTGAAACCACCTCAATGGACAAATCTTCCTCAGAAATAGACTAATACAAATGAGCAACTTCAAATTGATCTGGAAAACTTTCTGATGCAACTCTGTGTCCCTGCCTGAACTGACATGTTTTGACAGTGGAAGTGTGTTTTTGGTTACGTGTCCTAAAACAGCTGATCATACAGCAACTTTTTTTTAATGCTAGAAACAATATACTCTCAACAGTGCCTATTTTCTTGGCAGTTGTGTGCTGTTAGTGACACAGGACATCTTGGTCCATGCATCCTTGTATAGTTAATCACTCTAAGTAGAGCAATGTAGTTAGGCAACAAGGTAACATTCAGTCCTCGGAGTCGATGACGAGTGACTATATTAAACTTCTTAGTTTAATAACTTCTTCCTTTTGTACGTTTTAAAAGATTAAGATTAGTTTGAACCTTTTGTTGTAAATGAGAAGTATGTTGGTCCCTATGAAGAGAAACATTCAGCAGCTGTAGTGGTGATATCTCATCTGGAGTCGGGAGACCGGTGAATTGGGCTAAAAAAATAATCTCACTTGTCATCACAACCACCATTTTCACTCCTTGTACATATTTTTATTACTGAGTAGTAGACAAAATTGTTCTCTTCCTGACAGTATAAATATAGTGGGAAACAAATTCACAGAAGATGCACAGTGAGCTGCAGAGTGTCACGACCGCCAGCCAACTGCCACATTGACTACTGTGTGCCCGGTATTAGGCAGGCGGTCAAAATGTTGCGGCTGATTTGTTTACTGTTTATTCACTGTTCATATCTGTGTTCACAATATTTAGGGATATTGCGTTAATGTGATAGTGTAATGTAATCATCATCCATATGGACATTGATTATTAAATCAGTGCTCAGACATGTCCACATACAATATGTC